CCCCCAGTGCTCCTTCCTGCCCATGGCAGAGGGTCGGACTCGACGATCTGTCTAAGTCCCTTCTGACTCACTGATTCTATGAAATTATGAAACTATGGCCTTGAGAAATGACTGTGCGTGTCTTGGTTAATTACGCTTATTAAGGTATATAGGAACTGACAATGTACTTTCACTGAAGACTTAAAATTCAATTTTTCTTGAAGCCATTACATCAGTACAATCAAGTGTACTTATGAATGCAACACAGAACTAAATCTGAAAGGAATTTAATGGACTTTTAGTGAGCAATCAACTTGCAGTGAGCTTCAATATCCTGTAAATGTCAGCCAAATTTGACAGCTGGAGAAACTGATGCAGGAGGATTATGACTTGTCCAAGACCACAGACAGCTTTACAGACTATTAGGATTCATACATTCCTGAATATCAATCCCATGCTCAGACCGGACCAGACCATTTCATTTAAGTTCTAGCAGTTTTGAACAAGCAATGATTTTCATGGTAGGAAGAATGAATGGAATGCTAGCGTTTTCCATTACAGATACACTTTTAAATTTGAAACAAAAGCATGTCAATTTATGGTGGGGACAGCTACTGACAGAAGCAAAGGGTAATATCAAAATTATATTGGCCATATCACTTCATAACAATCATAACAAGAATATGTTTGGATATTAAGGTTCACTGTTGTTATGAGGCATGTGCTTTTCCCACGTAAAACAATGAAATATTTATATTTCCCCTTCAAATAAACTCAAGTCCAATAAATTTAACCTTCCAACAAAACTAGTCTTCCCTTTTCCATGAGAATCTAAACATTTTACTGTCAAACCATCTTTTTAACACTGGGTTTGAATTCTTGAGATATTGAAATACAGTAGACTAAGCTGGTAACCAGTGACCTGCCTGCAGAAACTGCTCTGCAGTCTCCACTTTTCCTGGCATTTTTACTCCGTTTAAATAAATATGACACTCAGCACTGCAGTCCTTGACCTATCTAGAGAAATGCAAAAGAGATTTTTCTGTCCACTTCCATCTCACCAGCATGATCTTAAAACTGTTTTTACCTGAGTTGATAACATCATCGACATCTTTGCCACTTAGTTCACTGATGACCTTCATTATGAGAGAGAAAGACAGAAAGAGGTTAAAAGGTTCATCTTGGGATTTTGGCTGTTTGGTGCATTTAGTTTCCTGACACTGGCAATTTCCAGTCTGTGTGTTAATCAGCAATGGGATGTGCGAGAGAGAAAAAGAAAATCAGCTGGAACACAGAGGGGAACAGGAGAAAGAATTGAGTTTATAAGCTAAATGGGTTTAGGGACAAAACTTTAATAGTGCTAATGTTGCTCTTAGAATTAGCTCATCTTAGTAGAACTCAAAGCATTGCCCTAAAACATCTGCTATATGAACTGAATTCTTTACAACATTAGGATGGGAATATAAGCATAAACTGACAACCGAGCTGTATTTAGTGCCAAAAGCACACAATTAAAAACAAGCTATTATTTTTTAAAATCTAAATATCTTGGATAAGAAATTATTTAAGAACACTTTAGCATAATAGATTCTAAAAACAGCAGTCGAAAAAAAATTTTGGAGTGATACCTCTAAGTTTGGTTATATAGCACTAAACACTTTCACTTAATTTGGTTTCTTAAAATAGTGCAATACCAGTGTCAATGAAAATACTAAAGATGATGATCCAAAAAGTGAATTATTTTGCTTACAGATCTTCTGAAACATCCAACAAGAATAAGTTCCTCTCAACTATTCCAAAATACAAGGGGGAAGAGGAACGCGCACATAAACACCCCAAACAAACCTTGTTGACACGTTCATCATCTGCATCAATACCAACACTGTTGAGGATCTTTTTGATGTTCTTAGCTGTGGGGCTGTCATTCCCACCCAGGACAGCAAGCAGGTAAGCGGCCACGTAACGCATTCTAAAATAAGAAACACAGAGGAAAAGAACAAAAATGACTTCTTTGGATTTACGCAACTGTTGTTTTGGAAGGGCTCCCATAGCACATTAGAACCTGAAGTACATTAAGCAGAATACACACAATCACACCTCAACATATTGTTGGCTCTTGTTCAGCTTACAGAATGCTGTACCCACCAGTTGCTTTTCCCCAGTACCGCAGCGTAGTTAGTCTTTCCTTGTCCGTGTGCACAACACTGTTCTATTCTAACTGCAAGACTTTCCACTTGTCCTTGTTAAATTTAATCCTACTGATTTTGGACCATTTCTCCTAGCCCTACCCTCCCAACTCCATTCAACTTGATGTCATCTACATATTTGCTAAGTGTGCACTCAATCCTATACTTCACTTGCCTGTTCATGCAAAATTATCCTTGCTTTCTCTCAACTATAGGCAAAAGGCTAGCATTAAGAGTGCATACAACTGCAGTGCAATAGTAGGATTTCTAACCACTGCGTCAACTGCTCACTTAAATTCTACATGCTGGTTAACTCCTCTTATTTGAGAAGTGTTTTCAACCCACTACAAAAGCTGAGAAGATGCAATGGATGTCACTGTACAAATACTCCATGTCACTTTATATCTGTCCAGAGAAGGCCAAATATTGGCCATGGATGATGTAAAAGTCAAAGATTGTGCCTTTAACTACATTCCCTGCATTACAGAACCATGCATGTGGCAAACTCAGGGCATGTGGACTAGGTGGAGACTCACAACATGCTCAGCATCTGCAAAGAGCAGCTCAGTAATGAACAGAGTAGGATCATAGGAAAGTCAAGCTGGCCTATTTGCTGCGCTCACAGAACGTGAGCCTAGGCCTAAACAAATAACTATAAGACCCCCTCTTAAGAAAGGAGGCCACTGAGGAACACGGTAACTGATTGCATGCAACAAATAAAAAAGAAAACAGAAAAGGGAGTAAGGTCACAGGATCAAAACAAGGGATCCAGAAAGGGACCCTGAGCAGAGTGCACTGGTCAGCACCCACTGCTCCCTGGGTCAAGGGAGCCCGTGGATGCTGTTCAGTGAAACTCTGCCCAGAGACACAAGTGGAGGAGAGAGAGAGAGATAAGAAGAGAGCCTCAAGCTCACCTGGGTTCCCCCCAGCCAGACCTATTTGACACATATTGGGAATATGGGCTTTACAAGCAACAGTTAGCCCCACCCTATTAATAGAGAAGGCTACTGGTTACATTTCAACTGAATTTGTGGGAAAAATAAAGATAAAACAGGGATGGGAGTGAGGGTCAGAGGTTTAAATGGAGTGCATGGGGGGGGGGAGCAAAGCACACTGATCCCCTGGCCGGATCCTCCTTCATGGTCGGGTGTATTGTGAGTTTGGTGAAGGCAAGGAAACTCAAGCTGGAAAGAACCTCGTGACATGATCTAGTCCAGCCTCCTGCTCAAGGCAGGATCATCACCAAGTAAACTAGACTAGCCAGAGGGATCCTGGGCGGGGCGCACAAAAAAAAGCCAGCAACAGCTTGAACAAGGACATGAACCCTGGAATGTCTGATGCCTGAGCCTTAGGGGTAGCTTGGTTGTGGAGCAACACCTACTGCTGGGTGGGGAAGGAGTTGATCTGAGGTGCTGGTTACACTTCTCTCCGCACCTTTTCTATTATGTACTCCCTGTCCAAGACTTTACTGAGTCCTAAGGCTACCTGGTCAACCTCCTCCTGGCTGGAGCCAAGCTGGCCATCTATCTGACCAGGAAGGAGGCTGTGGCAGGGGGAACCTCTAGAGCAGCAGTTCCCAAACTCTTACAGATTGTGCACCACTCATTTAAAATGCTACAACCTTAAACACCACTAGCAAATTTTTGCCATATAAACTAATTATAATAAATCTGTTAACCCATACCACTGACTGGTTGTCTGCATACCACTGGTGGTACCTGTACCAGACTGGGAATCGCTGCCCTACGGACTGTGGAGCCATTTTCCTATTCCTGGTCTGTCTGTGTCCCTCAGCAGCGTCCACCGGCTCCTTGGAGGTATCTGAGGGCCAGCAAGCGCTGTCTGCTCCGTGTCCCCCTCTCTGTACTCGCTTTGAACCAGACCTTCGCTCCTGCCCCCGTTCCATCTTTTATTCGCTTCAAAGCGATCAGGGATGTGCCTTTACCCACCCCCCTTATTCAGGGCGGCTCAATTCAGCAGACACCAGCCTGTTCCAGCGGCACCTCCAAGGCCTCCCCAAAACCCTGGGGGTGCTCCCAGCCCCCGACACCCGTCCCTCCTGCAAGCCAACAAAGGGGATTGCAGCCACCGTGCTGCCTGCTCCACCGTCTCCTGGTGTGCAACTCCCGCCCGGCACCGCTTCCTTCACGCTCCAGCCCAAAATATTAAATGATCACACTGGGAGCTCCAAATTTGCCAATTTCCTGAACAGCTGGCACTTGCAAGCATTCAAACAGGCATGCAGCTACGTCCCAGCGAAACGAAGATGAAGTTGGGAGCCGACACATTTAGTTGAGGTAAGCAGCAAAAGGTCCCTAAACCATCTATGAAACCTACAGGGACGCACTGGCAGCAAACCCAAACGACACCCTGAGTGTCACTTGGGTTTGGCACATGCCACTTTCCCTCTCCCCCTCCCAAAACGATGGCACATTTGTGGGCACTGTTCCCATGATTGATCCCACATCGTGCACGGGTGGAAACCACCGCGCACACGCGGTGATCCTCAAGGCCTAGTAGCCCCGCTCGCCTGGGCCTGGGGACCCGCCTCCCTTCCCTGCCCCATTCCTCCCTGGTCCCTTCCCCCTCGCCCTTGCCGTGCCGGCGAGGCGGGGTGGGGGGCGCGGGAGCGGAGGCCCGGCCCGGCCCCGCTCACTTTAAGCCCGGGGCGGACGCGAAACGCGTTGCACGCTCGTCCTGCGCGTAGCTGCCGGAAGGAGGTCACCACAAGGTCGTCCGCGCTCTACGCAGGGGCCGGAAGTACGGGTCAGAGGGCGGGGCGGAGTCAAGGGTCACCGCTCCCTCCCCCACGTCTCTTTTCCTTTTCTTTCCCTAACAACGCCCCCCGCCCCCTCCAGCGGCATCGAATGATGTCATGAAACCGTTGATGATTTTTTACGCAAACCGTTGATGAAGCTATGGAAACCATTCCGCTCGCGCGCAGGCGCAGAGTGAGGAAGCGGAGGGCGCCATCTTGGGAAAGGGAAAGGGCGAGGGCAGGGGGGTTAACCCTGTCATGGCCGGGTGAGGGAGGACGATACATCCCGAGGCCTGTGCACGTGCTGGGAGGACTCTGAGGAATGCACTAGTCTTATCCTGAGGCAGGAGCCAGCCCCTCACAGGCGCCAGAGAAATGCCAGCTGGGTGGTTTCAGTCTGCTTCCACCTCACCAGCATGATCTTAAAATTAAAAAAAAAAAATTAAAAAATCCCAGTTGATCACATCATGGGCATTTTTGCCACTGAGTTCACCAATGGCCTTTATTCTGAGAGAAAAAGGGGGTTAAAAAGGTTTGTCCTGCAATTTTGGTTGTTTGGTGTTTTTAGTTTCCAGACGCTGGCGAGTCCCAGTCTGCGCATTCGTTGGCACTGGGACGCGCACGCGAGGAAAGACCGAGAAAATCAGCGTGAGCACGGAGACGAACGGGAGAGAGACCCGAGTTTATCGGCTCCGCGGGTTTAGGGCCACAACTTTGCTAAGAGCAACATTAGCACAACGTTTCTCCGAGATCTCAATAGCACTCACAGCACGACCCTCAAATATCTGCTATACGAAGCAAATTCTTTATAACGTTAGGACGGGAATATAAGCATAACTGACCAGCCAGCTGTATTTCATGCCAAAAGCACAAAATAATTGAGAACAAGCTTTTTTCTTTTTTAAATCTAAGTATCTTGGATGATAACTTGTTTAAAGACACTTTTAGCATCATAGATTCTAAACACAGCTGTTGAAAAAAAATTCGGAGCAATGCCTCTAAGTCTGGTTATGTAGCACCAGAGCTAATGCTAAGAGCAACATTAGCACAACTTTTATCCAGGGCTAGTGCCTCAGAGACTTGTTTTAATGCAAAGCTGAATGATGCAACTTGTGAGAAGCATCCCAGCACACACTGCAGGTGTACCTGTGCACCGGGGACATGCAATTCTTACTGAAATGCAGCTGTTTCGTGATGAAATGCAGCCGCAGGGCGAGTTCCAGACTTTGACCAGGACTCCCAGAGAAATATTTGTGCCAGGAGGGCCATTAAAGGTTTAGTGGCTAGGAATAGTAACTGTCTGGTCACACAAAGAGCTCTGCTTTCACAGCACCACCTAGCACGAGCTGCTTAGCATCAACGTGGATACAAGAGGGGTTGAATCACTCCACTGCTTCCCTGCAGGAGTTCGCTTTAATTTTTCCATCTGAGCACTAACCCAGCCTGATGCCATTTAGCCTTAGAAGAGAATGTAAGATCACACCCTGAGATGGCACATCTTCAGGATGAATGCTGTCTTAATTGTGGGGTCCAAAACCTCCTATTCAGCCTTTAATTGTTATATCTTCAAAGGAAGTGTTAAAGTCTTCCTACAGAGAAGATGGTTGAGCCTTCCTCCTATCCACTGCTGCAGTGTTGGTCAAATAAATACAGATCCCACTGGACAATATCGGAAATCATGCAGCTGGTTTTCTGATGAAGAGCAGTGTTATGGTGCCATCTGGCGGAGGGAGCCTTCTTTCTGAAGTGCTGAATTACAACACTTGTAACCTGATTGGAAGAGGATCTAAGTATCAGTGCCCACAGCTCCAGGAAAATACCCTGGCAGTCCATAGAAGCATTTAGAGAAAGTGAAGAGCTGTATTAGGAAGGGAATAGAGAATCCTATGGAAAATATTCCTGTGCCTTCATACATATTAATGATTATGATGATCGTTGCCATCTCTTATTTCTAAGTTATATGAGATAATCGATGTCTTTCCGTTATATATCATGAAAACTATTCAAAATCTTTTTTTGCTAGGATCATTTCAACCTCATGGGATAAAGCACCAAATTCATTTTAAGGAACAGTCCTGCTTGGCTCTGAGGGATTGACCAGATGAGGCTTAACATCTAGTGCTTGCATCTGTAATCTGTGCCATCTAAAAGGTAATACTTGTGCTTCAGAGCATTGCATACATGCAGCTGACTTACCAGACAGAGTCAGTGTTGCGCTGACATTGTAAAGCGAAAGGTTCCTTAATGTAGCACTCTTTGGATTTGCTTAATAATTGATGGGACTAGTAACTCTCATAACCAAGAAGTATTAAACATGCCACACACTATAGTAAAGCTTCAGCATCCATCACAAATTGATAACGGAGGAGGAGGATAATGTGATTACTATGCACTGCATATGCACAATGTTTGTTCAGACTGTCATCTGAGAAGCATTATTCTTAGATAAGCAGCATGTACTTATGTCTGGAAATCCACATCCAGTGATTTGCTTTATGACCTGGGGTAAGTTGCTATCTGCCTTTGTTTCCTTATCCATAAAAACAGGATGTACATGTGCCACACAGATAGTTTCTGTGGATTAATGAGTCAATGTCTGCACAAGGATTTGGAGCATGTCGCCATCTGGACCACCGGGATCAGTTTTCCACTTGTAAAATGGGGATGATAATCTTTCCTTATGTCAGAGGAGTGTCATGAGAGTAAGCATGTTAACGACTCTAAGGTGTCCTGTTACTATGGTAATAGGTGCCAGATAAGTGCCTACATAGATGACTGTTAATTCCTGGAGAGTACGGAAACCAGGGCTGACTAATTATTTTCTTGGGATGCTCATAAACAAGAATAATTACAATTTCTTTTCTACCACTGGACTATAAGGGAACAGGGCAGTTTCCCACTACAAAGCACTTTCTCTTCTTCAAAGAAAAGAAATTGTGTAAGGTTGTGTAAAGTTTTCTTTCCATGCAGAAATAATGCTGTTTTGGTGACTGTCAAGGGTAGTAGCTCTCAGGTACGTTCACCTTAATGTAGCCAAGGACACATTTGAGAAGCAGTGCTGCCCTGTGGGTAACATAGTGGAATGAAAATCAGGAAACCCATATGCCTTCCTCATTCTGGATGTGATCTTGGGCCAACTATTTCCCTTCCAGCCCTTGTCTGTCTTGTCTATTTAAATACACAGTAGTAAGTGTTTAGAGGAGGGACTGTGTCTTACTATGTTTGTACAGGGCCCAGTACAAAGGAAGGCTAATTGCAGCTGAGGCATCCTCATCTATTGAAATACAAATCATAGTATTTAAGGGCCTTCATCTCATTCTGTCACACTAGAGACCAGCAGTTAAGCTTAGTAGATGGCTCAGGAGTGGCCTCAAGTGACTTAGAGGGCTTTTGAGCTGCTGCCCTGGGACATGCACTCAGGTTCTTAGTCTTGGGTAGGGGCTAGCAACCTTTTCAAGCCACCAGCTGGCTCCAGTCTAGTACAGGCTTCAGTGGTGTGTCAGCAGCAAGGGGGGATTTGCCTGTGCCTATGCTGGGGCTAGGCATATGGGAACTGCAGTGGTGCTGCTGTAGCATTTACTAGCCCCTGCACCCTGGCTGGGTTGCGTACAGTGGGGAGCTGTACACAACCCAGAGGGTTGTCTGAATGGAAGAGAGCTCCCCTCTTCCATTCAGAGGGGAGCTGTGCCAGGGCTGTGCAGCTGGGAATTGCATGCCACTGCTGCTCCAAGCCCTGCTGCTTGCCAGCTGCAATGCGGGTGCAGCTTTCAGCCAGTGGGAAGCTGTGCTGGGGCCAGGTAGCTAGGAGTTGCATCTGCATTGTTGCTGCCTATCCGTGCGCTGGCTGCAGCAGGGCACAGCTGGATGCTGCCCAATCCTGGCTCAGTTCCCTACTGGCTGGAAGCTGTGCCCAGGCTGTAGCCTGGAAGTGGGGGCCAGGGAGGAGCAGTGGCAATACAGGCCCAGCTTCCAGGTATGGGCAGGGGCAAGTCCTTCTGGATCTGTGGGCCAGATCCAGTGGTTCAGCAGACTGAATCTAGCCCACAGGCCATATGCTTCTGGCCCCTGGTCTTGGGTCTTCAAGTCAGCTATGCTTCTACTCTACCTAACTGGTAGTTTCTGGTGCTGAGGCAAGTGGGAGGGCCTATCTTTTTGAGGTGGTGCCCATGTTGGGAGGGGGTTCTAGTGAGTGAACCCTCCTGGGTCCTGATCTCTGCAAGCCCTAGCTCTCTCTATGCATGCTTACTAATGCAACTGCAAGGATTGCTGGCTGCCATTGGCTCAATTTGGGCTGCTCCTTAGGTTAGACAAAGCTTAAAGACCAAGCTGTGGCATCCTTTTTCTCATGTGAGTAACCGTATTGAGGAGATCTTATGTGGGTAGCCATATTGAGGAGAGTGGCTCCAAAAACAATGCATATTGAAAGCTAGAAAACCTCCCCAGGCAATGTATTGGCTGCAGCGTGCGAGAGCGCAGGCAGGCATGCTGGTGTAGGTGGTGAACTCATTACTGATTTATAGGGGTATTTCCCATGCCATGCATGCACATTCCTAGTTCCTGCTGGTGCTCTGGGGAGCTGTGGGCCCAGGCTGATAACTAGAAGAGGATTGCAGACAAATGGCAGAAAACAGACCTGAGAGAGCCTTGTAGCTCTGTGCTTAAAAAAATGCACATCTCTGATAAACAGTGCTAGTGACAGAATAGAGGGTACAGCCTGGTGTGCTTCTGAGACCTGATCCTGGTTGTGCTGAAATGAATGGCAGAGCTCTTTTTCTAGGAGATAAAGGGTGATTCTGTGGGTAACGTATTGGCATCTCAGGAAATCTGGATTCACTTTCAAATTCTACCAGAGGCTGTCTATATGGCTTCTCTAAACTAGTCTTTTTACAACATCTGATGAAATGAGCTTCAGCCTATGAAAGCTTGTGACACACACACACACACACACACACACACACGAATGCAGGTTTTAGTGGTGTTGGTTTACAGGCAAAAATATTCAGAACT